TCAAAAAGAAAAAATATTGAAAACTCAAGGTTTTTTACATCCTACCCCGTAATTTATTCAGAAAATGAATTTCTAACTCTTATCATAACGCCATAATGGAAGACTTAGTCCCAAACTCTTTTAGGACTAGGCTTGAATGGTGTTGTATCATAACCGAAACTGCCTAGATATTAGAATTTGAAGTTTCCAAGTTCTTAACACGTTTCCTCGTTTTGAAAATGATGGAATGCGAGCTATGAGAATTTCTGTGCTTCTTAGATTAATAATGCTGGTAAAGCACGAAATGTTTGTTTGACCCATTGGTTTGATGTATCCTCATTGTGCAACAAAGTTTTTATGACTCCATTGTGTAGGGAAGCTTGTGGAGTATGATGAACCCATGAAGTTAATGAAGAAAGAAGGATCGCTGTATGGACAACTTGTCAAAGAATATTGGTCCCACTACCACTCTGCACAATCACCCTATTAAACTTAATTTTCTTTGGTCTGTCCCCTGAAAAAAAGAAAATCATAGTATTATTTGAAATGAAAGATGTATATTACTACGTACATAGTACTCGTTAATCTCCTGTGCGCCATGCACCAAATTAATCCCATTTTTATGAAAGAAATTTGTGGGTGGTATTATAATTAGTTTGCTACATGAATTCATTAGAGTATAAGTTATGAAAAGAAAAAACAATACTGTAGGAGTGTAGGGGGTTTGATGAGCCGTTTTCACAATGATGCATTTATGCTCATAAGGTGTTGAGAGGTGGAAGTCTCGGATAAGGTGTTTGGGCTCCACCGGGTTGGGCTTGATGTTTAGGAGGGGTTTGGGGATCAGGGATGGGTAGCTAAGCCAAAAAAAAAAAAAACCAAACCCGAGGCCCGGCCCGGACCCGGTGGCTACCCGGGCCGGTCCCGGGTCAAGCTATATAGAACCGCCGGCCTGGGCCCGACCCGGCCCGAGTCCAAGTGTCCAACCATATGCTCATCAAGTAACACTCAATTTAAATTCATCATTATCATTAAGATGATGGATGACATATAAGAAAAGTTGTGTGACTGCGCCGACTAGTACACGCACTTATTATTGTTTATGTGTGAACGTTTATACTAAAAAAATGTCAGGTTTGAAAAAAAAACTTTAATTTTGACGTGTTTGTTTAGAAAAACATCAGAAATTTAGTACGAAGTAGTATTTTAAGTTTTAGTGTTGGGAAACTATCAAATAGGTCCTACAATATCAAAAAAGTCAATTGAGTCCTCGTATTTCAAAAACAACCAATCACATCCTCCAACTTGTAAAAAACAATCAATTGGATCTTTTAACCGGAAAACAACCGGTCACCCAGTTAACTTACACACGTGGCAATCTTTTCATTTTCATTTTTTCCATATTTCTTTGTCTTTTTCCCCTTCTCTTTCGCATGACTGTCTTCTCCTGTCAACCCCCAACTGCAACATCCTTTTCTTTTTCTTTATTTGTTCTTTCTTTCTTTCTTGAATCTTGAACCTTCTTTCATTCTTCATTTTCACAAGTTCAGCGATTCAGAGGAGGACAAGTGATTCAAGCGACAGCTTGGGCTGCTGCCGCATATCATCTTTTCCGGCCAGCGCAATCCGCTCTTGGGTCTTCTGCTTCAGTGCTTCTCAATCCATCTGCCCTCTCTGCTGCAAAATCTGGTCGGCGTCGGCAACTCGGCGTGGTGGCTATTGCGATGTCCGCCGAAGGTTGTTGAAGTTCTTCCGCGAGTTTACCGGCAATTTTACCGGCAAGTTTATTTCCATGTTAATCCGCTGCTAGAGTTCGTCATCCAATAGAATGATTGGTGTTGTGAGTTGGGTACTTCGGTGGGTTTGTAGAAGAAAGGAGGAAAAAAGAGTTCGTGGTTTGGTTGTTGGTTGCTTGATAGAAGAAAGAAGTCAAGGAGAGAGAATCAAGAAAGAAAAGAAGAAAGAAAGAATTAAAGAAAGGAGAAAGAATTGCAGCCTTGCAGAGGTACGGGTGGAGGGAAAAGAAAGAAAGAAACAGAGAAAAAAACTAAGAACGAACAAAAAAGGAAAAAGAATTGTACGAGGACTTAATTGACTTTTTCAATATAGTACGAGAACTTATTTGACAATTTTCCCTTTAGTGTTTTAGGATGTTAGTTTTAGCCGTCATGTAATTAATTTTAGTATTTAATAATTGTATGTTAACAATACAAAAACATGGGGTCACATGGAGGAGTTTTTCTTTTCTTTTTTGTTTTTAAACTATTGTTGATCTTCTATGCGTTTAATGCATCCATTCAATTAATCAATTCATATATTATTTTTTGTGAAATACGATATGTTAGTTTTAGCCGCAATGCAATTAGTTTTAGTATTTAATAATTGTATTGTAGCAATACAAAAACACGAGATCACAGAGATGAGTTCTTATTTTTTGCGTTTAAACTATTGTTGATCTTCTATCATTTAATGCGTGTTGAGGTTTATTCCTTCAACCCGTAGGCCCAACACACCACCCAAGAGTTTCGAATGTAAGAAAAATCGAAGTAGATGTAGAAACAAGCAGGAAGGGCCCAATAAGAGGTCTTAATACACTAAAAGTGTTACAAAGCCGAGATGTCGTTCGTACAGAGCTATGCTACGATCTCCTATGAATGCTAGAATGCTATAGTGCTAAGTTGACAACCCTTTACAATGAAATAAATGCTACTATTTATAACTCTAATGGGTAGTTAGATGTGTTGACGTGGCGGGTTGTAGATGGCGTGATGCCGTGATCCCAACCACCAAATCTTCTGCATTAAATGTGCTTCCCGCCAGGATCTTGGCTTCCCACCAAGGGGTGGGGACGTTCGTCATCTCGAGCTTGCTTCCTGCTTTCTGCTGGGTTCGAAGTCCTGCAAGACGAGCGTCCGACGCTGCCCCTGGGCCAAGGCACCCGCCTATGCTACGGTACGTACATCCCCTGGGCCTTGGTGCTGAGGTCTGGCCCTGTTGGGAACGAATCTCGCCAGGATAAGCGGAAAGGTAACTCGTTATCTCGTGCCTTCTGGGTACGAGGGTTTTATGGGCCAACCCTCGTTGGGCCATTAACCCAACAATGCGTTTATTCAATCAAGAGGTCTATAGATATTTTGAGGCCCAAGGTAACAAGGATGATTGTTGGAGTGAGGATTTTGTTTAAATTAAGCAATTACTCATTTTTCATACATTCATAAGTTATCATAAAAAAAATTGTAGCAAAGAGTTAAATATAGCACTTTTAAATAGATTGGTTTGCTTGAATTGAAAACTTTAAAGCTAAAAGATTAAACTATTTTTCTATTATATACAATTTCAATTGTAGTTACAGGATGGATTTACAAAAAAAGAGTGGTGCAGTTATTAAAAATACTACCTCCGACCCATTTTATGTGTCTCACTTTGACTTGATACGTTTATTAATAAAGTGGTTGAAAAAGTAAAAGTTGTGGTTTAGATTTGAGTATAATAAAGAGAAATGGTGTATGACACATATTTCTTTCCAAAAATGGAAAGAAGGCACTTATTTTGGGACAATCCAAAAAGAAAAGTAGGACGAGTAAAATGGGACGGAGGGAGTAATAATTTGTGAGGTTGAAATTAAATTGATAAAGTGTGAAATGAAGTAAAATCAAATGAATTGTAACCATACAAATTTTATCAAAATATGATATGAGATAAACTTAGTAGGCTTGGGCGAGCGAAAAAAGTAAAGTGAGACAGAGATGGGAGGACATAGAGAATTAGGGATTAAGAAGCCATAAGATGATATAAAAAACCATTCTATATCAAATTATTTAGAAATACTTTATACAATTTCTCAAACAAATACTCTACACAAAAATTTAGTTCTTTTATTTTCTATAAAAAAATTGTGTATTGCGTAATTGTAAAGCGATAACAAAGTGAAGGCGTACCTGGCCATAAACTAATAATTATAATAAATGAAAACACTAATAGATATTTGTAAAAAAATGTATGCATAGGCTAACATCAATAACAAACTTGTAAATCTATTATCCACTCTGGTAGTATTTTTCATTTTTTCTTCATTTTTGCTAGGAAGCAAATGAAAAAATTATTTCAAAGAAGTTGTTCGAAAAGTTAGACGGAACTCCAAGAGATCAAAAGCAACTTATTCGTTCGGTCTTGATAACTAATTCTCTAGATAAAGTTTTACTACGAATAATATGAATTAAATGTATTATTAATATTATTAATTGGACATGAAAAATATGAGGCCCCACCAAAATGAGAAGCCCAAAGCATTTTGCCTTGGCAAAATGCCCTTATAGCCACCACTGTATTCAATTGATCAACTCATGTTTTTATTTTTAGGAAAATACGGGAAAAATACGTTTTATATGGGAAGTTAGAGTTTTGTTTCCTTTTTAAACGGACTGACATTATTTTTCATTTTAAATGTGTTTTTTTGTTCAAAAAAACGGTATGTGTTTGAAACGCGTTTAAAACGGGGAAAAACTAACTAGGTTTTTTTGTGCACCACTTCACCCAAAGTCTTCAAATCATCAATTTATGCTCCAAAGACTCTTCAAAATGCTCGATTTTCACGCCTACAATGTTCAAATCCTTTATATGGTTCTTGCAACCAAAATATTGCATAAGTAAAATCAAATGAGAGAAAAATCGCCAAAAGTTGACAAACAAAGAGAAAAGTTTATGAGAAAGTTTTATATATATTCATCAGAATTAACTGATTCAACTAATCTCAATATTACCACACGGGCTCTAATTAAAAAATTCTGGATGAATGTTTAATCACACAGGAACATCCGAATACTTTTAAGTTTTTATATTCAAAACACTTAATAAACTTTTAAAAGTAAAAAGTATAAACTTTTAAAAATTTGCAAGTAATTCCATATAAATAGATAAATTTATTCTCATTGAATCAATGTTTGCGAAACAATCACTAGTGTTTCGAAAGCGAATTTTAGCGCCCATTATGTTTTGCCGCCAAGACAGTCCCGTCAGGAATGTTTGGCGCGTGTTGCCCACCGATCCACAATATCCCTATGCGGCGGACGAGAAGGACGGTGTTGACTGGGTGAGAATTTCAGCTTCTATCGGCCTTGCACGGCATCACCTTAGATCTCCGTCTCTGTAACAATGGCAGATCCCATTGACTACTCGAAGACCCAGCGCATCCTGCTCCTCATAGATCTTCACCCGCTCCAGACTTTCCAGAACCCTAACTCTTACCTCATTTCAGTCTCCGCAACCGCCAGACGCCTCCTGGCCTTCGCTTCCCTCACCCAGTCGCTCTTCTCCTTCAAATTCTTCTTCTCTTCTCTCTGCCCTTACCTCTCCACCTCCGTCGTCGATCAACTCATCGGCAGCTTATTCCCCTCTTCTTTCAACCTCCCTTCCGATACGCTAAACTCCCTCATAGCTATCCTCAAATCTGTGTCTATTCCAGCGGAATTTGAGGTAAAACCGTCTCGTGCATCAAATGTCGCTAGCTCTTTGCACAGGCTCGTATTCGATTGCACTTGGGAATCTGAAAATGACGATCTATTGGGTAAGGCTAATGTAGAATTTCCTAATATTTCTTCGAATGTGGTGCTTTTGTTTTCCCATTTGCCCAACTCCTTTAGCTGCTTATCTGAGTATATGAATCTGGGTGTTAGTTCTGAAGCTTTAAGGGATTTAGATGGGTTTATGGTCAAATTTCATGAATTGTTTGGTATCGTGAGCAAAGCGTTTTCTAACAGAGATATTCATTTAAGTTGGATTGATGTGGGAGATGGCCTCGCACCGAGTGTGGATTGTAATAAATTTGACAACTTTGGTGGATCGGTGCTTTTGGAGAATGGGATAAAGAGCTACGGGTGGGGCATTTGTCCAACATACTCAATTGTTTTAGATTCTGCTCTGATTCCTTTTGGGTTGATATATCCTAAAATTGGGATCCCATTCCAGTTTCTGAAGTGCGCTGACTCTCGTAAAGGCCATCTTGGACAGCTATATCTTGAGATCCTTGATGTGAATGGAAGGCCTTTGAGGTGCAAGTGCAGCGATCTTGAATTCCTGGATCTGAATGTTTCACAAGGCGGGGTTTGCAATGGAGAATCAGTTTGGTCACGGTTTGGTGAAGGGGTGGTGATAAAGATGCAGGTTCAGGCAATCCAGCGGTATGATGATGATGGAAAAGTTAAAAGGTGCACATCTAGCTCTATTCTAGTGCGTGAGTTTTCTGGTGACACAAAGAAATGCCAAACCAAATTTACAGATGGTTTATTTGCTTATAGAGTTTTTGACATTCTGTCTGGACATATGGGTGAGAATAGACACAGAAACAACTATGTTCCTATCTGGAGCATTCTGCTGAGTTTTCTATACAAGGAAGGATGCCAGGCCTTGGTTTCGCTTTCCAGTAATAATGAACAGATTACAAGTATTCTCAAGCCTGTGACGGCTCACTTAGCACTGCTCTCAATTACTCATAATAATAAAGAACATGGTTGGAATCAATCAGATTGTAGTGGTGTAAGAGAGAGGACTTGCAACACATCTGCTGTAGAAACAGATGACGCAAATGGTTCACAACCTGAGGCTTCAACTTCTACTTATTGTGAACCACTAAGGCATGGGAAAAGACCAAAGAATAAGAAGTCTGTAAACAAGCATCTCTGTTGGAGCTCATTTTGTAATGCAGCTTTTGAGTGCTCTGATTTCAATTTGGTGGAGATCTATTTTGCCAGGAAACCTGAAAGTTCAAAGATGCTAAAGTTCTTGATGTGCTGGATGAAGCAAATAAAAAAGCACAGCAGCATTTTGCTGCCAACAGCACTTCATCATTCATCCCAGTCTCAGCAGCATGTGCTGCTACCACCTTTGTTTTCTCAAGTAAACTTAACGCAGGAGAAAGATGTATCTTTTTCTTCCTCTGAAACTGTGGAAGTGTTCTTTGGTAATCTCCCAAAAAGGATTCAGCATTGTCTAACATCTGGAGCGGACTTGCAGAATTTTGCAGAACGTCTTGTAAAGTTATCAATACACGTGATTTCTCAAATATCTGAAAAAATTCACACCTCTGGTGCAAATAAGAATACCATTACAGAACTTATGGAACTTATATTAAAGAAGCCCAAAGATATGACACCCAAAGTGGAGTTTGACAATCCTACGTCTGAAGCATCTGATTTCAATTCAACCTCAAAAATTATTGTTAGAGAGTATCCTTTTTCTCTACTGTTATTTTAATGTTAAAAGTATCTTGCAGTCTCAAGCTCATGAGTTCACAATATTATACTAATATAGTTTTCCTTAAAAATTATAATATTATACAATATTATACAATATCTTGCATCTGATTTCAATTCAACCTCAAAAATTATTGTTAGAGAGTATCCTTTTTCTATACTGTTATTTTAATGTTAAAAGTATCTTGCAGTCTCAAGCTCATGAGTTCACAATATTATACTAATATAGTTTTCCTTAACACGAGCAAGATATGAGTTGCAGGTTTTCCTTCGAATGGAATTACTTCATTCAGATGTTTCTGAGAGCATTAAAGGCTCTGTAAAACAGAAGCTTGTGAAGCAGGTTTGCTCGCTTCTCGAGATAATTCAGTACCTTGTTGAAGGAGGCATTCATGGTCATGTTCGCCTTTATGATTATGTTGAGCGGACCATTAGGGCAAGGTAAATGAGGAGACATTAATACCATAACTTATATGTGACAACCCATAACCACCTTTGTCCCGAAATAAGCTTTGTGATTTCCTTTTTGGTCTGTCCTAAAATAATCTTATTGTTTCCTTTTATGGTAGCAGCACATTTCTACCTAAATCCCAACCGCACCTTTTTTCCTTTTCAACCACTTCCTTAATAATTATGCCAATTTCAAACAAGAAGTTTATTTTGAACGGAGGGAGTACGTATAGGTTGGCCTCTTATTTGTACCATTTTTAGACCTTCTTCTGTCCGAGATAATAACCGAAGTCCGCCCAACCTCCCACCATTTCAGGTACAACCATATTCTGGAAGATGTTGTGACTGAAATCTATGCTCAAATGGATCTACTGCCATTTGGTGAGGAAGATGAAATTCAAGCACAGCTCTTCAACAGTGAGGATAGTGATCAATCATGGAAAGAGAATCATGATGGATATAAAATGGCCAAACCTGACACTGTCCTACAATCAGGTTTAGCTGGATATGATGACTCCAGCCAGCCTGCTGATGAAAATTCCGAGTCAGCCAGAGAGGAGGAACATGCACGCAGGATAACTGAAGCTCGTGAAAGGAGAGAGAAAGCCAGGAGATCTTTGTACACGAGGATGCCAGACCTACAAAGAGTTTGGGCACCCAGGCAGCTAAAGGCCCCAAAAGGGAAATCTGAAGGGCAGAAAGACACTAAAAGGAAACACATGCGGAAAGCACGTTATGGTGTGGTGTGTGAAACCCCAATGAGTGAAAGGAAACATATGTGCTCTTCTGATAGTGAAAAGGGGCATACAGATTCCGGTAACTCTTCACGTGTGGTTCCTAAAGCACTGTTTCAGGATACCTGATCATCAGCTTCAGATTGGTTTTATGGGTCAAGTGGTGCGATCAAGAAAGCTTTGCCATTGAAGGGTTATAGAGAAAAAACAAATAAAGCAAAAGAACTAAAGGTCTATAGTGACAGTACTCGCTCGCATTACTCATACATCATTGTAACACACCAAAGCTGGTGAGAATCCCCAACATCCCCCCCCCCCCCCCCCCCCCCCCCTTGTGTAATTTATTTGTAGTTTTTAGTTTCTTCTTGGAGTGGGCAATTAAATGTTCCATGCCCTTTATAGAAGAGTTTCTGTAGGAATGTACCGTCTCATGTTCTATATAAACCACTATGTATTGTGTTGATTCATAATCAATAGAGTTGATCTTTCAATTATACCATATTATTTCTATTTTGATTACACGAGCTTACATTCTATGATCTCTACAAGACTACAAGTGGTATGTGATTATGTGTTTCAACACACATATATATGCAGCAGAACATGTATATTCATTCTTAACCCAAATTGTTTGGTACTCCACATGTATAAAAGGTGCAAACTGTGAGATGTACTAATATGGGCAGTATTATATAAATTGTCTTTGCACAAAGAATGTGGCATCGAGATACATGTATCTTTGGTGAAATTTTTGTAAAGTTTTCACAACTTTTCATTTGTATCGTGTTCCTTTGTAGTATGTACGAGGTAATCATCTTCTAAAGAATGTTCATGTGTGTTGTGTATAGTGAACAAGAAGAAACTTAACTAGTAATTTCTACTACATTGGAGAAACCTTATGAGGAAATTCAATGAGAAAATCAATTAAGAAAAATGGTACTTGTTCTATCAATTAAGAAAAACAATTACTCCGTATAAAAATTCAGTGGTCATAGTTTTAGGTATTTTAATTTTCAAAGTGGAATCTTATCAACTAAGTCTTGCTCCATACTAAACCAAAAAATTATGGAATCTTATATGTGAAGCCGTTGATGACTATTCCCTCCGCCCCGGTCATTTCTTCCGGTTTAGTGGGAATAAAGTGAAAATGTATGGTTGTAGTTGTGTAAGAAAAATGTGAATGAATGTGAACCACATATTTTTTCCAAAAGTGGAAGTTGGAAGAATTAATTAGGACGGTCCAAAAAGGAAAGTTGGAAGACATGACCGGAACGGAGGGAGTATTATTTTTAAATTGCAATTAACACCGTCAGTGTTTTATATTAAATGCAGTCATTCAAACGTCAAGAGTGATAGTAACAGTGCTAAATGCGGTGGCAAAGGTGGTGCCATTGCAGCAGGGGTATAGTTTTGTGAATATTAAAATATCTCAATCAAATATTAAATATTTCAATATCTCAAAAGTTTTATTATTGTATCTGAAAAATAATATGGCCCTAGAAAAAACCCGCCATACTTCAATATGATGAAGGTCCAGAAAATCAATAATGATTTTGGGGATCTTCTGAGAAACGCATGGATTTCAGATTAATGGAGAACAATCCGAGCTAGTTTCTCAATGTTAATGGCAGTAGATTAAGAGAGGATAGGAATGAAAGAGATGAAGAGATTGCAAATTGCATTATGATCATACATGAATGTAACTAACTAATTTGTTATTCAGTCTATATACAAGCCAACTAACTAATTTGTTAAATGAATGTAACTAACTATAACAGCCAGTGATGTGTCCTGCATCACAATATGATGTCCTCCGAATTTCCTTCTAACCTTTTTCACATCACCAGTTTCTGAAACAGATACGAAATACTTTCATATATCTTTAAATCTCTAAATCTATGTAATGCAGAGTTGAAGACCTTCACAGCTTCACCCATTACCATTAGCAAGAAATAAAAATAAAACAATAACTAATCAAGTACACCCCAGGTGACCACTAATCGCTCCATAGATTCTGTAATGTGACGAGAGGCTGAAGATATTTTTGGTGGAATTTTTGTAATAGTTACTACAATGTAGTATAAGAAAATAAAGCTTACATATCTAAACACCACACAAAAACCCTTCAAAATATGTAGTATTTAGTATCATGACTATTTACTTAAGGGGCAGCTCGGTGTTGCGGTGCACATTGGCATTCCCGCAAGGTGAGGGTCCGAGGAAGGGTCTCACCACAAAGCTGTATACAGAGTAAACATTCCCTTTTCATTTTGACAAAAGGGCCGCTCCCAAAACTTGAAATCATAACCTCTCAATCATACAGCAACATTGTAACCGGTGCGCCAAGGCTCCCTTCTATCATGAGTATTTTACTTATAAGAAAGTTATCAAGGAAGATAACGTAAAAATGCAGATGCAATTCGAGTATACGATTAATGTACTGATAGAGTACTACAAAATTATCACTCACTTTCTAAAGTAGACTTAGTCTACCGTGTTATTCATAGACTAATTTACAAAGTATGTCTCTATGCACCCTGTCGCAATATCAATTAATGATATTAGTGAATCTCATGTCATGCTAACATATCAATAGCTGTTTCTGTTTGCTTAATCTGTGGATGACAGACATGGTATGAATCTAATTTGAGCAAAATCAAGGGCTTGTTCAGCATGATCAGGGGCTGGTTTGGCACTCTAATCCAACAGAACAATTTAAGAACCAACCTTGTGTCTATCAAACATTGAAGCGAAATAGCATCACATCCCCTTCTTGTACAACATACTCTTTCCCTTCTAACCTCAACTACATAAACCAAGGAGATCCATATAAGCTTGACATAATATTGGTGAGTAACATAAAATTAAAAGGAAAAATAATAATGATAACAATTATAGCAGTGGAAAGGATGTGTCAAAATGAACACTATAATGACTACGAAGAATAGAAACACCACTTGAAAGAAACGACTTACAAGTCCTTTCTCTCTTGCAGCTGCAAATGACCCAGCAGCAACAAAATCATCATAAGCAACCTAGAATCAAAATTTTCATCAATTAAACTTGAAATGGGACCATCTTGCTTCAACATGACCCTTACTGCCTTACATGAATACTGATTTCCAAAAAAACAATGAACATTCAAAAATCATATTACTTTTGAGCTGTTATATATGTGTTTTTATATATTTTGTTTTTCAGACAATTGACTAGTGAGCCAAGAATACCCCACTTCAAAGTAATCTAACATAGGAAACTTCAAAAATGAGATAATCTAACCGTCTCCGCTCGAATGAAACCCTTTTCGAAGTCAGAATGTATGACTCCAGCTGCTTGAGGTGCAGTCATGCCTACATATGCATTATATATAGACATTTATGTTCAGCAAAACTGTACAAGATTAACCTTGCAGGATATAAGGTTAATTCTATTTAAACTGCATCCCCCCAAACAAAGGCTCCAACCAGGAAGGAGGAAATAACTTCAGTAATTTTCGGAATTTCCACACTTAAAAGAATGAAGTAAATGAGAAATGACTTCTCAATTTGTCCCCACGGCCACCTATTATTCATCATCATCATCATCACCCCAGTGCCACAAAGGCTCCCACCTACGGTAGGGTAAGGGGGGGTCGGATGTACGCAGTCTTACCCTTGTACTAAAGCACAGAGAGACTGTTTCTGAATGACCCCACGGCCACCTATTATTAACAACAGAAATTACTCCATATATTATTACTATCATCATCATCAGGATTATCATCATTGTTACCACTACTACTTTTATTTATACTCCCTCCATCTCTTAAAGAACTCCCCTCTTTCCTTTTATGGATGTCCCTAAATAAAGTACTCTTATTTGGTAAACAAATTTCTATCAATTTACTCTACTGGCCTTGACTAATAATGACAACACAGTGTCAAACATTGTCAAAACAGTAAAATTTACCCTCAGTAAAAAGGGCGATTCAGGAAGTCAAATGAAATAAAAAACTTTCCTTAAAACGAGTGCTATTTAAACCGGAAACTTTAAAAAGGGATGGAGGGAGTATTACTTATTTAATAGGGAAATGGACCAAACAGACGATGATAAATGTTTTACTTTCATCCAAATACTAGAAATTGAAATGGTTACTGAAAATGAGTGAATTCTAGATGTATGTGGGTGTCATTTTTTACAAGGTATTTGTTGTCTTTCAAAACGAAGAATCTTGTTAAGGCGGTGAAATGTAATAGATTAATGAGATACGGCTGTACTTTGAAGTGAAAACACAACACAAAACCACAACTTTACAAAAAGAAATGCAAGGCAGAAGTTAAGCGCATGGCGCCAATGATATGTAGATTATTTTTTTGATGCAAATACAAAGTGAAAACAAAACTAAAAAATTGTCAACACCATTTAGTAATGACAATAACAGTAATAGTAATGCTATTAAATTTATTAATAGAAGCATATTCTCTAATACTTTATTTTCAGCTTAATATGAACACGGATGCTGTTATTGAGCACAACCAGTTAGGAGTGGGCACGGTTGGTTAACCGCATTTTTGGTTAACCAACTTATGGTTAATCGAGATATCGGTTAACATGTTTATAATATTGATAACCGTACCGTAACGACGGTTAACCGGGTAACTTTTACCGTAATATAGGTTAACCGTTAATTGGTTAACCAAAAAACCATTTTAGAAAAACTATTTTCAGCCATATCTTCCCTGCCCTGTTCATTCACGAGGCATTTCTCATAGTCAGAAGGATTCATTCATTCCTAATTTCCTTCCGCCTCTCTTCTACATCTCTACCTCCAATCTCCTATGATATGCCTACTGAGTGCTGATTGCAACACCCATTTTGATATGCCTATTCGAAGAAAGTCTTAGGATGAACCATTGATAGACATTTGTCTTCCATGGCTTGGAGCTCCGGCCCTTATTTACCGGCGGCCATGGCCTCGGCCAAGATCGTCGCCAAACCGCCCTTGCCTGTTAGGATGGAGTTTGTTGCTCCCAAAATGAACTGATCGTTAAACTCAATAATACATAATCCGAAACATGTGGAATATGTTGTTTGCACTTTCATGATCTCGTTTGCCTTGGCTAGTTTTTTTATCACAGCTTTCCACTCCCAATGGTTTGGGAGTAATTGGCTAAAATTGACAGATGAGTGAATTGACAGATGATTTAATTTTAGTATTGACAAGAGCTCTCAATTTTTGTTAGAATTGAATTAACTTTTGTATTGACAGGAGCTCTCAATTTTTATTAAAATTGAGTTAATTTTAGTATTGGATTAAAAATTAATTTTAGTATTGACAGACGAGTTAAAATTGACAGTAGCCCGCAATTTTAAAATTGACAGGAGCTCTCAATTATAAAATGGACAGGAGTTAAAATTGACCGGAGCTCTCAATTTTAGTTAAAATTGAGTTAATTTTAGTATTGACAGATGAGTTCATTGACAGATGAGTTATTTTTACTATTTTAGTATTTCGCTAAAATTGACACATGAATTAATTTGCAAACCGTAAGTATAAGTTTGAGAGTAATACTTAACTTTGAATTATCGGTTAACCGGCGGTATTTAATTTCAAAACCGTAACCGTATCATAACCGTTTATTCTGTCGGTTGGTTAACCATACCGCATGATTTTAAAAATACGGTATGGTTAACCGATAAAAACATCGGTTTTACGGTTATTTACCACGGTTAAACGGTTACGGTTTTTCTTGCCCACCCCTACAACCAGTACCCGCATGCCCCTTATACACCATTGTGGTGGGACCCTTCCCCGGACCCTCGCCTTGCAGGAATGCCTTCATGAACTGGGCTGCCCTTTTTTATGTATAAATCCTCTAGTAACATTAGACAAGAAATTGAAACAGGGAAAGTTCACCATACCACAACCAATGCAATGATTCAGCAACATAGAAACTTCATCGCTTTAAACGAATAAGGCACACATCAATCTCTTCAATAAGTATAAAGAAAACAAACGCGCTGATAACTTATCAATGATATAGGTTAAAAGAAAAATGAATCACGGCATTAAATAGTACAGAAGTGGAGTTTTACCAGAGAGTATAGTCCAAGCCTTTGTTTCCTGTAAGATATATTGGCAAATGTAATTAATAAAGTGAACGCAAATTCTAATAGCAATGCAAATTTATTTAGTTTACCTTCTCGCCAGAAGTGAAGTATGTTCTCAAACCAAGGAGAGCATATGTTTCTCTGATAAGATTTCCAAGGCCACTTTCATTAACACCGAGTGATTTTAAATACTCCAGCCTTTCTCCTAGAGGAAGCTCAGCGAGCTCTGACTCAACCTGCACCAAGAAGCTCCAATGTTCAGTTCCAACAGCACAAAGGCATTAACAGATTCACCCAGCAAAAATTGACTACGACGACTTGACTTCAGAAAATACTTAGACAGATTGAGCTCTCTAAACATATCTATTATAAGGCCAAAAGGGATGAGGGAACCTGTGCAGAGATGGTTACTACACCAGAATGTAGCTCTAAAGCAGTATTCATCACTTCTTTGACATGAGAATTGCTTTCAGGTTGAGCTACATCCGACTCTGCAACATTAGCCACATATATAACTGGTTTCATCGTAAGCAAGCACAGATGCTTCACAGCATCCTTTTCAAAAGCTGTTAGAGACACTGATCTTGCTGGATTTCCATTAACCAGCGCATCTTGAATCCTTTCCAGGGCAGATTTTTCTGCTTCCTCCTGAAACAAGTTGCTTACAAAGTTGTTTTTCATACCTAATGATATTAATAGTGTCAATAAAAAAAGATAAGACCCTCCTGTGACCAACAACAAACTTTTACCTTAACTTTAGACTGTGAATCTTTTGCTCTGCCTTTTTTAAGTTTCTCCATTCTTTTTTCAATCTGTATTTCTTGTATGTAAGTCAACCTCGGTCTATAAGTCAGCGTAGTATGCCACATAGACAAAAGATCATCGTAATACCTGATCCAAGTCTGAGAACACCAACTCCAGGTTGATTACATCAATATCAGACTTTGGATCAACTTTCCCATTCACGTGAACAATATCATTATCCTCAAAGCAGCGCACAACCTGAAGCAGCAATTTTTCTAACTATTACACTTTCAATAGATGAATTAGTAAAACTTAAGAAGAAAATCATATTTATATTTCATATTTTTTCACTTCTTTTAGTTTTAAGTTTACAAACTTGTATTGATTATATCTTATTGGTATTGATAAAAATGTGTAATTTTAAAAAAACAAAAAAGAAAAGCATAATTGTTGAAAAAGATGAAGTTTGAGTTTTTTTTTAATAAAAGTGAAAGAATAGGATAGATTTGTGAATTTGATGATAGTTTGGGATAATTTAAGCTAATAGTCCTAAAAGATATAACTACCAAGGTTAGAACTTGTGAAGGAGTGGCAGTCAAGGTTGTTAAAATCGTATTTTTGAATCGAATCGGTATAGAGATTTAAAAATTGGATCGTAAGTATATTTCCCTATCACTATTGGTGACAATATATTTCCCTATCAACCTTGGTGACAATATATTTCCCTATCACTATTGGTTTGCATCAAGATTCGGCACTGAGCTGATCCCTATTTCCAATGGTTATGGATGAGTTCACCAAATATATCTAAGACAGAGGGGTGGGGGGTACCCTGAAATATGTTGTTTGGGGATGATATCACGCTGATGGATGAACTTAACAAAGAGTTAAATGTTAAGTAAAAATATGGAGACAAGAGTAAGAATAACGAGACATTAAGATAAACTGAAATAAAAATGGAGTATTTGGAGTCAAATTTTTTGAGTTTGCATTCAAATCCCAGATAATTGGGTCAATTACGGCATATTTGGATTTCTAGAGTTTGCACATTCATATCCCTTTTGAATTGAATATGAAGATGAGATATTCTGATTCAATGTCTTGACTCTTGACAAGCTTATAGTTATATTGGTGTATGCAATGTGTTTGTGTTCCAACTACTATGTGATCATATATGTCAATTCCAGTGGTTCAGATATCTCAAATTCTCAATTGGTTGCAGCAAATACAAACCAACGAGCTTCTATTAAAACTGGATGGACAAAGTTTGATTGCAAATACATGCCAGGTGCATTTTATGCTGAGCATTCGATCAATATCATAAATCACGTGCAAAGGCTGGGCGGTCCTAACCACCCGCATTTTATCAAAAGCCAGCCAACCTATATAGTTGCCAGCCAGTTAGACCCCTCTTGGAATTGATGTCGATTATTGACTGGGGCATGTTAAAATTAACCCGTATGTGACTATGTTCTATAATTTAGCTGTGTGTGATTGTAAGTTAAGTGTAACATTCAAATGATTGCACTAGCTGGGGTACTCCTGCAGTGTGTCAGCCTCTGGCAGCATGTTCAAACAGTTGGACAGGGCATACAGTCCAGCTCAATACATGCACTTAATATGCACACTTGATGGACCGGTTCAGCTGTACTTATCAATACTGTTACGTGCTCCCAATAGGCCGGTCCAGTGAAATTTGGGTAGTGCGACACTTGTAGACTATGAGCCTGAGAATGAACATTAAAAGGGAAGCTTACACTGCACTCTACCTAATCTAAGGAGGTAGAATACTAGAATGGGTTGGAAAGAATTCACAATCAAATGATTTCTAGTAGCTCCATTCAGCAATTACCAACAAGTTAGCCCAAAAACACAAGGATTTAACATTGAGACGGACATACCTGGAGTATGGAGTCCACTTCACGAATGTGAGACAAGAATTTATTACCCAAACCCTGTCATGAAAGACCTTTGTTACTAATTATGGAGCACTAAAAAGAATCATTATTGAGAAATTAGAGCAAAACAAAATTTAATCACAGATGACATATATTTTACTAGAATACATATTAGTAAAAGATATGAACCTCTCCTTGGCTGGCTCCCTTTACAAGTCCAGCAATATCAACAAATTCTATTGATGCTGGTATAGCTCGATGTGATTTGCTAAGATCAGAGAGCACATTGAGGCGTGGATCTGGAACCGCAACTTTCCCTACATTTGGTTCTATTGTGCAGAAGGGAAAGTTAGCAGCTTGAGCCTTTCCATTCTCAACCTGCAAGAATAGAAGGTAAGTGACATTTAATAGTTCAAGTGCACTTTCAGCAATCACACCCATACCAACTCATTGTAAGACCATCCAATCTGAAAGAACACTCCCCCTCCTATAATTCCGCACCTTATGACATTGGCAGTAAAACTGTTAACTGCACAAACATTTCCAATTCAAAAGCAATGTGTCTACCCTTTTGAGATTCGAAGAATTGGGGCGTACATAGACTTTGCAGAATAGAGATTACTTTACTAGCATAAAGGGGTACTACATACGAATAACAAGAACCAGAAACACATTTGGGATTAAAAAATTCACAGGTCAAGCTAAAAAAAACAGCCAATTCAGCTTCCAAAAGCATGTCCTGGTTAGAATCTAGTAGGGACATTTATACAAATACATAATAGACAGACGCGATCGCAGTAGAAATAACACTTCAAAACCATAAATAAATGCGTGCGTTTCACGACTTAGTAATGCAAAGACTTACAACGGAGTTGAAGAGAGTGGATTTTCCTACATTAGGAAGGCCAACAATCCCGGCTCTCAAACTCACGCTTACTTTTGCGGTGGAAAACCGCCGCGTCTTTAGGAGTAGAGAATGTTTGGTTTCTGAACGTGTAAGCCATTGGAAAGAGGAGCTAAGTGAATGTACTCGGGAAGGAAGAAGCTGAGAGCACGCTACTCTCGCCATTGCCTCTTAACAACCGCTCCTGATAGTGTAGTGGGGCGCGGGGAATGGAATCCGAATCCAGAAATTGAAATTAAGCAAAATGACCCAAAGTTTATTGAATGGCTGATTCAACGTAAAACTATGATAAACGTAGTACTGTTTGTGTTTTTTCTGGAAGATTGTTTGTGTTAAATAAATGAGATGAATTTTCATATGTTTGGGAGTGGGAAAGGGAGGGGATTAGTCATGGGGGGCGGGCTAGTTACTACGAAAGAGACTGAGAGCCAGTGAGGCAGCTGTTATCTTGTTTTCTATGTCTGCCTCTAAGAGAGTTTTTGAAAGAATTATAATTAAAAACACCTTCAGATATGACGAATTCAAATCATTGAGCTGATATTCATTTTTAATTTATCTTAAATTACCATCTTGTTAATTATCCTCCAAAACTCATCTTGTTAATTATCCTCCAAAACCCTCCAAATTGGGGGAACTTAAAAATTAACCATTTGGAGGGTTTTGAAGGGTTACAAAAACCCTCCAAAATCATCCCCTCCTATTTTTTAAACTCCCAAACATTAAAAAGATGTCATAAATCCCCATTAACCTTCCCCTCCCCTCCAAAACCCAACTCTCAAACACGCCTTAATAGATTATTTTTGCTTGGTCAGAACTCTTAAGAATGTACTCCGTAAATATACTCTGCTATCGTAGAAGCAACCGGTGGGCGTAGCTCAACTGGTAGCAAGGGAGTGCCACAAGGGTTAGGTTCCGGGTTCGAATCCCGGCAACTGTGATGAGATGTTACTATGCTAAAAATGCATAGGGTCTCTGCAAGTACCGGGGACATAGCTTCACTCTCTATCTGTCAGATTGTGATTGTAGTCCAATTTACATCCTCCCACGTACCGTCCGGTCGGGGTTGGGGGTCTCAGGGATGGGGTGACATCCTTTTTTTGGCTATCGTAGAAGCATATCAATCCAGATAATCATGAGTCGAGGAAAAGGCATTTTGCAAGGGTAATTTAGGCATTCAATTGTGTCAGTTAGTATTTGAGCACTTTAATTATCACTTGGTCCAAAAGACCCGCAGTGACCAAGGTTCAGTGGTGGGAAATTTGGACCAAGTGACCAAGGTTCGAAACCCGCAGCGACCGTGTGGAGGTCACATAACCTGAAATAAGCCTGGGCCTCTGGTGCGCACGGGAAAAAGGCCTACTATCATTGGGTCGACTGAGTCACCGTGATTAACATCCTCCCCAAAATCCTGTCGGGTCGGGGTATGGGGGGCTCCTGGGGTGGGAGATTCCACCTTTTGGACCAAGCACTTTAATTTATCACGTTATTATCTACCTTGTGCTAGGCAAATCCACACCTCATCCCAATATATTCCCTACATGCGCAACCAATGAAATATACGCTACCCCCTCTGTCCCTAAAAATTAATACCTCAGTCCCATAAAATAAGTCTCATTTCAATTTGTATCGGGGTTTAAGAAAGTGGGAATAAAGTGGAAATGTATGGTTGTTGTTGAATAAGAAAAAGGTAAATGAATGTTAGCCACACAAAACTTTCCAAAAAGGGAAATGGGAACAATTTTTTGGGACGGCCCAAAAAGGAAAGTGGGACTTATTTTATGGGACGGAGGGAGTATTCTAATATTAGTTTGAATCGGAGTTTAAAAAGTGAGAATAAAGTTGAAATGTATGATTATGCTTAGCTAATAAAAGGTGAATTAATGTTAGCCACACGGTACTTTCCAAAAAGGGTAATGGGAAGAATTTTTTGAACATCCCAAAAGGTAAGTGATTAGAATTTTTAGGGAGAGAAAAAGTATGATTGTATGAAACAATTTCAGAAGCAATACTTACAACAAGTGAATGAAGAATTCAGCTTAGGTTCTAGAAAGAATTGAAGAAGAAGATCGAGTGCAATTTATATTAGTAAATATGGAGCCCCTGAGCAAGAGTCTTCAATTTGGATACGAAACTATAAAGCAACGAGCAGATGATTACGTCGTCCACTTCAATCTTGAGCAAGGGAAGACATATTCAAGATATAACAATGGGGTGGTCTTTGAAACAGGCAACAATGAAATAATAAAATTCAGCTCAACAATGTAGGCTATGGCTATGTTTGGCAGCGGATTTCAGCTCCAAATCAGCTGATTTTTCTAAATTTCGGCTGGTTATTGAAAAAGTAGCCTTGTTTGGAGAAAGGGCTGATCTAAGCTTAAACTGAAATGTAGAGGCTGAATATAAACGTTAATGTGTGAAGCGTTTCATTGCAGACGGTTGAATGAATCCCTAATTTATCCTTATAACTTTTGCCAATATTCTAGTATTTATGGCTGCAAAATTTGTATCACCTTATCCATCCAATTCTCTAGGTATGACCGTATGACATTTCTACTTTAATCCAATAACTGATTAATTGTGATGATACTTCGTTTCTTTGTTATTGTTTTTGCAAACAAATTTTTTCTGGAGTCTTGTAGATTTTTAAAATATGTTTTTTTCAAAAGGTAAAACTATCTATTTGAACGCATAGCTTAAGAATCTAATGACGGTGATTATTTGTTACGGTGCATTGTTCTTTTTAATCAGTTTTCATTTGAATAGACACCCTGCAATGACATCGTAAATTTATTATTCATAACAAGATACAAAATGGTCTTATATAATATGGAGTATGTTTTTGTTTTAATAGATATGTTTGTCCTCCGATGTAATTTTGCTTTTCTCAGACACATTTTCAGCTCTTTTTAACAAACAGGTCTACTTCATTCAGTTACTATTTCTGTTTCAGCAATTGGAAGTTCAGTTTCAGACATCAGCCTTTCGTTCAAACAATAGTCACCAATTCAGACATTAGTCTCCAGCTACAGCTTGTTATGCCAAACAAAGCCTTAGACTTGTTTATTCAGTTGTTAATAAAGATCGGCCAAATCAACCTCTTTGATAGGTGTTTGGTGGTTTTTTCTACTTTCAAGCTTATCATCCCATTTTGGGTCCTCCAAACGGCCTCAGGGAAATAATTTACTTAATGTGGCTGCCTTTCTCATAAAACATGAAAAAATTATTCAAGATGAAATAAAAAAACAAAATGATAAATCAAAAATCAAATCACATCATCTCTCTAATAGGTAAATGCCACTTTTTCTCATGCCCATTATTATTGACAAAATAGTAAGAATGATTGCAATTGTGTACCTCAACTATTCAAGGTTATAATGGAATTATATATAGAAACGAATGGTTCAAATGGAAAATGTTGAATCGTTAATCTCACAAAGATATAGACTCTACTTGTAGATTGACTAATCCTGCTACGAACAAATAATGACCAAAACAGTTGATTTTACTAATCATTGATAAGGGAAAAAAGACATGTATCTCAACTTCATCCTCCACTGAAAAGAAACTCTGAAATTTTCCAATTCCATTGGGCACCAATAAGGTGTGAAGTGTATAATTTGTTCCGATTTCACCAGACATTGGAATGAAAGCAACAATTGTGATCCCATCTTCCTGGAACGACAATGGTTCAAGAGGGGGTGAGAGCGGCTCAATATAAATGAGGAAAAATACAGATCATAGTTGATGGAGAGATGAGTACAAACCTCTATCTAGCAGACTATAACACTGTCAAAGATGATGGAGAATCGACACCTGACAGGCGGGACTCAACAACTGAATACAAAATCTCTAGACAATGTTAAGAAAAAAACATACATAATGACTTGAAAGTGTCGATTAAAATAAAACATATTGCAAAAAATATAGAAAACGTGACTTGTTTCTTTTCATGATTAGACAAAATAAAGATTGAAGGAAGAGATATATGAAAGAAAGCGGTTAAGATTTCCCCATTGCCGCTCCTCTCTACTGTTAGATTTTAGGATTTTTCGTGTGTCACAATTTAATAACTTTACAACCCCAATTGTTTTGTTTATTAGAATTATGATAATTAACCGCAATCCATTCTTTAGTCTAGATATTCAAGCACATTAGATATGAGGCAGTTCAATGATTTCAATTTTAGAGTAGTCAAGATCAGTTCTCACATCAAAGCTTTGTATTATTGAAAACGTACTCTCTCTCCCATAAAGTTTTGTCAAAACTCCTTATTTAACTGTTCTAAAGTAAGTTCAAATGTTATAGAGTTGCACATCTCTATAAAAAATGGACGGCTCCCTAGGGTTTCTAGAGTTGATTTTTCCTGCACAGGTTCTATTGCGCTTGGCGTTTGTTTCGAATGAGTGCTAGCGTTTTTAGGCAGTGAGTTCATTCGTGGCATAGAGGAGGAATATCCACTTTTCATATGAAGCATAATGGGTCTAGATTGGTTGGCAAGAAGGGCAAAGGCATGGCAGAAAACATCACAATTAGGAGCAAGGGGAGGGTTTGGTTTGTCCCCTCCTAAGCCACTGCCATGGAATGAACGTGTGACTAGAGTTTGGTCAATTGCAATTTCTTGCTCTATTTTTTGCTTCAAGCTTTGTTTTTTTCTCCTTTGTCTTTTTACCCTGTTTTTTGATTATAATTATTGTTAGTGGCAGTCTTGGGTGAACTTTTCTATATACGTCTGACTGAAATAACTTTTTGACTATTATGAAGCTAAGTAAGAGGTGAAGAGTACAATGACCTTAAGCGTCTGTATGAACTCTATGTCGTTGGTCAAGGATAGATGGTTCTTTGAAAAATGGTTGTCTCAGAGTCTGATCATATAATTTTTATTGAATCCAGATAGATGGCAGGGTTTAAGGTACTAATTGGTTGTAGAGTAACTGATGAGGTGATTCTAGTGATCTTGTAGATAGATTTGAATCTGGTGGAGATCATAAGTAAGATTTAGGGTATATTTGACATACATAGCTGGGGAAAAACTTTGTGAGCTTTTTAGTGATTGAAATTAAAAGATTTTCAAAGAAAAATGGTGTAGTTGTTTGATAAAATATTGACTATTTAATTTAGCTTTGTTTGGTATAACAGGTTATTGTGACTAATTAATGTTGAAAATTATAGTCTTTTTGTCAGATACTATAAAAAGATCTTTTTTAAACTCTCAATCATTATAATATCAAACATAAAATTAGAAGCTTTTAAACACTTTTAAAAGAGTACAAAAGCTAAAAGATAGAAATTTATGTCTACCAAACATGCACTTCATAGGTTTGACGCAAACATATGCCATGATGCGCCGTTCTTGCTTGAACAGTGGCTAATTGAGTAGACAATATGGAACACAATTAAGCTCTTGGG